GATACTTGAACTTAATATGTTGAAAACAGAACTCATTTTCTTCCTTAAACTGTCATTCCTTCTCAGTTTCTAAAGTAAAATGATCTTCGTGAAATTAATAGTTTTTGAGGAAGTCCCCAGGACTTCCCAGATTAACATAACCATCAATTTCCTTTTCTTCCTAAAATTCCCATTTTGCCTTCTATTCCAGTTTATCCTTATGAAAGGATAAAGACAGAAGGAACCCTTAAAGATCATTTAATGAAACACACTTGTTTTGCACATACAGAATCTAAGAAAAAGAAATGAATTGCTCAAGGTCACTGAACTGTATCTTAAACACTTCATTTGAAAACTCAGCTGAATTCTGTGAAATCTTGTTCAATTTTACTGATTTCCTCTACCACCCTATTACCCCACCCAGGCTCCAAATGTTTCTGTCTAATCATTAAAATGGCCAGACCTGGACCCTGTTCTTCAGATTATCTCCTCTAGTTCTACTCTTTGATTTCCAAGACCCTGTCTTGAAAGTAGGCACATTCTCACATCAATGGAGAAACATCATCTGATCTGCATTTTTTAGCATTATACTCTCCACTTTTTAATCATTCTATAAAGATTAAAATACTACTGGCCCAGAAAATATATAGATAGAAAAACCAAAAACTGAAGGTTGAAGGAAACCATAAATCACAACAGAAAGAAATAAGTGATTTAATTTTTGTTACTCCTCTGTACACATTTTAAAGCAACTGTATTGTACATAAAATACTTCTTATTCAGAAATGCCAGATATGCAGAGAACATGGAATTTTCTTTTTAATTAGGCATTAATCAGAATATCCCTTGAACTTAACATTTTCCTCCCTATTTAGTTCTTCATCAAATTTCACCTATCCTCTTTTCTGTAAAAATTTCCTATTTCAACCAATGCCAGTCTTGTGACTAAATTACTTTCATTATGCCAAGTAATGTTATTTTCATTTCTCCTCACTATGGATTCTGCTTTAACCAGCAAAGCTCCTGGTAGTCTTCCTTTTATCGGTCTCCTTCTATCACTTTGCAATCTCTCCACCCACCCCTCATTCTTGCTGGAAAAACATTCATTTTACCTTCAAAAACTTACTGAAAGACTGAGCTACACGAAGCCTCCTTTTCCTTGATTTGCCCACCTCCAACTGCCATCATAAGCATTATATTCATTTTCTTGTCTTTGTAAGTCTTTTGCAAGCATATGCTGTCTTTTATGGCTAATTAGGATTACAAAGCCCTTGTGGGCAGGGACTATATCTACCACACAATAGCTACACTAACAGACATACAATTTAGTTAATATTTATGATAATCCATTACTCTTATGGAGTACCTTAACTCATTTTGTGTCTTTCTGTGGCACCTATTACAATGCTCTGTACAAAATAAGTTCTGAAATATTACTGACTTAAGCTTTACCAAGGAGCCTAACACTAACTCCCATGATAGTATAATTTCCCTGTGACGGTATGAAACTTATGGCCAAATGCCTCCTTTTGTCTCACTGATAATTAAGACTATGAGAAATGCAAAAAATAGCATGCAATTTTATAAATGTCATATAGTCCTATTACATGCCATTCTGTGGTCACTTAAGGAGAGGAAAAGCAAAGTAAGGAACAAAATAGGACATCAGGTCAAGATGAAAGTCTGAACGCTGGCTTTCCCCTTCCTTTCAGTCCTTAGTCTCAGAGAAGCAGCACAGCAACAGCAAAGTGGCATCAGTAGAAGTTGAACTTCATCTGACTGCAAACAAGCAGCTGGCATGGACCATGTCTATTAGAGAATCACATGTTAAACACCATTGTATTAGGGAAATTAAATGCTACTGTGAAAACAGAAATTGTATAAATTCTAATTTTTCACTCAAAGTCATTTATTAAGCAATTAGATGGGGGAGGGGAGTGTGGGAACAAAGACCACACCAATTTAAATCTAAAGGGATGGGTGAGGTTAAAAGTACACTAAAAATCACTGTTGACAAATTTTGAATAGTTAAATTCAAACAGACTTTAAAAAAGTTTTATTAATATCTGCTTGACACGTCTGTTTAGCAGTCTGAACAATCAAATCAAGTCTTTTTTAGAACTCTAATTAAGAAACAGTTACCAGTATGCAACGTTAAATACTGGAATCCCATCCCTCATGAGGTCAAGATGGTACAACTTACCTTGAGTGGAATACTTATACATTTAAGTCTTAAACATTTAAAAAATTATTTTACTAATTTACTATTTTAGTATCACTATCATTTAAGTTCAACAGTTTTCACAGGCAATTTGTTTTTTCCTTTGGCATCAAATGTCAGAAGGCTATACAGAATTACTATATCTAAGCTCATCTTGAAGTGTCTCTAGATATGAGCAGAAGAAACGAAAGTATCAATGAATGTGATCCAATTATCATGGAAATGATAATTATTAAACAAGGATATTTGTGTAACACTATTGTTAGGGCACTTAAACACTTTATCATTATTTCATTTTGAATGACAGTATAAAGAAGGGAGCAAGCACATGACACAGAAGAAACTTGCACCGTAGGATAGAGTCCAATTTGTTAAAGGAAACTGCCCACTTTCCTCCCTGCTCCTGTTGCTTAGGACTCCCATGTAGATCTAATGCCCACTTCCTACCCATCAACAGAGAAAAGGGTGGAAATCAACACAAAGCTCAGTCCTCCTTCACTATTAAATACCATCTCCTCAGATCAACAGGGTTAGTGAACCAGCTAAAGAGGACACTGCAAATTTTCCCTATGGTGTTTTTCCTTAAATGAGTCAGGCCTTTAATAATAATAAACATAATAATAAAGTACTTACAGTCAGGGCTGACTTAACCCCAAAACAACTTCACTGGACATAGGAAAGAGGGAGTCATCTATGAGGTACAGTAGTCCATATCTAACAGCCCATATCAGAATCTCATCCCATTCTTATTTATGTAGTACTCTGAAGTTCTATTCTGGATGTATATAATTAGTTCTAGGTAGACTGCAGAGGGAAAAAGATCAGCTGGGAGATAATATTCCTCTATTTTATCAGTTCCATTATATATAGTATGAAAGAAATTTAAAATATGCTAGTTCACAGATTTTTCTCCTTCCTTTAAAGGACACACCTTCTTGATCAGGTATACAAATTTACTGACATACCCATTCCTTTCATAACCCTGGCAACCTAACTAATTCCCTCTACTGAAACTATTCTTGCAGGTCACCAACAGGCTCCTTTATTGCTGGCTTCAATGGTCTTTTCTTTGTCCTCATTCTCCTAGCATAACTGCTAGGCATCTCCACCATCTCACTTCTAAGACATTATGCTGTTCTAGTTTTTATTCTACGTATGTTTAGGCTATTCCTATCTAAACTTCTCACATATAGGTCTTCACTCTAACTATTTCAATGGGTAGGGCCCTGGTGTAAACTTTGGCTTTTAAGTTTTTCAGAGATGTCAGGCTATCCCTAAGGTCACCAGCTAATCTTGAAAAATCTTGTCACTTTACTTCATTGGTCCTCAATTTCCTCATTTTTAAAATGGTGGAGTTGGATGACATGATTTCCAGGAACAAATTCAGCATAAATGCTATTATTTTCCATTTTCTTTGCTAGTTCCTCTTTAATCTGTTAAACTACAGTAGAGTTCTCAAGTTCAGTCTTTTTTATATTTACAAGTAATTCAGTGAGAGAGTTTGAATATAAATTTTTTTTTTTTGCCTTAAACTACTATCTCTCTATGATGACCTTCAAATCTGTATGTTCAATCCTGATCTCTCACTCTCAACCTCTCTAAGTCAAATTACATATTAAAACTTTCTACTTAGATGCCAAACTCTCCAAATTTAACATCCTTCTTCTGAAATAAGATTCCCTCCCTTCCTGTCAACTGCATCAAGAGTCTCTTCTAGGTGCACCTAGATGGCGAAGTGGATAGAGCACTGGCCTTGGAGTTAGGAAGACCGGACTTCAAATCTGACCTCAAACACCTGAAAGTTACTAGCCATGTGACCCTGGGCAAGTCACTTAACCTCAATTACCTCACCAAAAAAAGGGAAGAAAAAAAAAGAAAAAAGAAAGTCTCTTCTAAGGTCTAAAGATGACCTCAAGTCATCTTTTTTTCCCCTGCTTTGGTGAGGCAATTGAGGTTAAGTGACTTGCCCAGGGTCACAATGCTAGTAAGTGTCAAGTGTCTGAGGTCAAATTTGAACTCAGGTCCTCCTAACTCCGGGGCCAGTACTCTATCCACTGTGCCACCTGGCTACCCCTTCAAGTCATCTTTGCTTCATATTTCTGTTCATCTTTTATACTCAGTAAATATGGTCTAGTAATTTATCCTTTAAAATGTCTCTTTACCTTCGGTTCCACTCCCATACCTTCATTCAACTGGCTTACTGCAATAGCCTCCTGTATAGCCACTATGACTTTTCCCACTAAATCCATCCTCCATAACGATCATAAACAAATCTTCATAAAACAGACTTTCATTAAGTTATGAATAATGTGCTGAACATGCAAAATGCTGACCAGAGTTACTGACACTGCATATCACTGGTGGGGAAGGGAAACCATAGTTACTACATGTGGCTCCCCTACCCCAAAGGAATCCCAAACTCTGAAGAAAGGAGTATGGCAGGGGCAGCTGGTTTTAATGACAATTAAGTAAAGCTTCAAGACTGACTAATGATTCTGATCAAACTCCTGGACTACGCAAAACAAACCAAATTTCTGTCATTTACAAGTCATAAACTAAGCAAATGCCAGTTGGCCAATTTTGTTCAGCTTTGAGTTTCCTCTCTCGATAGTAAACAAATACTTTTTATGATACTGTACCATCTGAAGCACCCTTAAATAGGAAAGCTTTCTTCAACCTTGTAGTCAGCTTGCCACATTCATTCAGTGATACAATATGCTCAGGGGCCCTGGGAAGGTATTAAATACAAAAGGGCCTTAAGAAGGGACATATCTGTGTGCCTGCTCAGTCACTTACTCACCTTGCAGGTCGTCTGTTTCAGGTATTGCTTTGTCCACAGATGTACTTTCCACTTGGGTAGATGCTACAGAGTCTGATAAAAGTGACTGATTTGATACAGGGCTAAAAGAGAGGAGGATAAATCTTTAGATAAAAAAGTCCAAGTTTGTGTTGCGTTTCAATATTTAGTGCTTTTAGATAATCAGGCAACAATCCAGCTAATTGCAGTAGATTATTATAACATATGGAATCAATAAAAGTAATTTTTAGCACATCTAAATGGTACTAGAAAATTAATATTTTTGAAACTAAGTACTTCAGTTAGAAAATTTCATCAAATGACCCATTTAGCAATTATTTCCATCAGAAGGTACAGTAGGCACATCTGTAACATGCTTCAAGTACCATATAAAGGTGATATGAATGATGTGATGAATAAATGCTTAAGAAACACTCAGGTAAATTTGCAATTTATTACAACATTCCCTTATTGCAAAATAATCAACCAGAACACCATACAATATAAACAGTCATGATAAGGTAGCACAGTGGAGAAAGTTTTAGACTGAAGAGTAAGGAGGACCTGAGTTCAAATTTTGCCTCAGACATTTATTAACTGTGATCTAGAGGAAATCATTTAACCTCTCTGCACCTCAGTTTTCTCATCTGGAAAATGAGAGGGTTTGAATTGATGTCCTCTACAGTTTTTCCCACCTCTAAGTAATCTATGGTCTTATGAGCCTAGGAAAGTAGGAAAGTAGGAAACTAGTTTTGGCATAATATATCAACTGTGGAATAAGAACACAATGCAATAAAATCTGTTTCAAGTCTCTAAACTGATGGAAAATTCAAAGTTAAAATACGTGAATATAGACATGAATGAAGTCTTACTAAACTCATTTAATCTTCACTCAATGCACCGCACTAAGTTTTAAAGGACAATTTGAAACAGATTTATATTCCTTAGAAACAATTTATTAATACTGGAAAATAGGTTGGAATTGGATTCAAGAAAGCAAAATGTCAATCATGGTAATGACTATCAGTCACATGTATAACCTTTAAAAAGTCATCTGATCTACTAGGACCTCTGTCTCCTTATCGGCAAAATGAGAGAGAGTTGGACTACATAGCTTCTGAGGTCTTTCTCAGTTCTAGATCTATGATCATATGAAGACCTGTGACTTGGGGAACAAGTCATTGAACATTTAAGCATCAGTTTCCTTCTTTGTAAACCAAGTTCTAGTACTACGTGTACTACAACATTCAGTTCACAGATAGGAAGAAAGCAAATCATCAAATATGAACATCTGCACGAACGTGGGACAGAGAAAACACAAGAGAACTGAAAATTAATACTTGACAACTTGACCAGCTATAAGTCAACAGTACTGCACAGGGATCCAAGGAATAAGGAAATTACCAGAGGAAAAACAAAGACTTCAAAACAAAATTAATTTTTACGTAAAATGAGGAACAGAAGTTACAGCTACCTGGACAGAAACAACCAGAATGAAATTCACTTTTTTGTGCAAAAGTCATTTTTATACACCATTCCTCAGGAAGCAAATGGGTCAAACACAGGTACTATAAACTTTATTTTTAATTATCTTTTTAATTGAGACCTGAAGAGACCTTACCTCGGCTGCATAGATGGGGAAGATGTGGAGTCTAATGTTGATTGAGCTTCTGGGACATTGCCTTCTGTGCACTGAACTGGTAAAGATTCAGACAGACTACTGACAGAAGTTGCTGTAAGAATATCACATTTCATATTAAAGTGTCTATACCTTGGTAAATCCAAGAGTTCATCTATAAAATCAAGGTTAGTTTTCCACTAAACATTAAAGATTGTTTTAATACCTAATTTAGAGATACTTATTACCACACACATATTGCCTGAACAGATCTCCACTGAACTATTTTAAGTAAAATAATAGTTTTGAGGCTAGAATGATAAACTAGGAAGAAAAATCCGCCAATTTTATTATCATTTAATCCACAAACATCTACCTAGTGCAAGTCCACACATCTGCGGTGAGTAAATAACTTTTAAAATGGTCTACAGTGAAATATACCTTGAGAGTTTGAAGTAAGAATTAAATGTCATTGTCAGTCTAGCAAATTATACTTCCAGGTATTTCATAAACGCTATGAAGACACTAAATGTGGACTGACATTATTGCCATTTCTAATACCTACATCTAACGCCTACTTAAGTTCTTTAGCAATTTTTCCTCTAATGAACTTACATATCATTCAAGATCTCTTCTAATCATAAGTTCTCATGTATATAATAAACACAAGAGTTTAAGCAAGAAAAAAAGCCTACTTGTTTATGTTACAGTATTGGTGTTCAGTTGTGTCCAACTCTTTGTGACCCCATACGGGTTTTTTTGAGCAGAGATACTAGAGTGGTTTGCCATTTACTTCTCCAGGGTTTAAGGCAAAGAGGTTAAGTGACTTGCCCAGGGTCACGCTGCTAGTGAGTGCTTAAGATCAAATTTGAACTCAGGTTTTCCCAACTCCTAACTCCAGGCTCAGTGTTCTATTCAGTGAACTACTTAACTACCTCCAAGACAAAGGTTAAATGACTTACTTTTAATGAGATTGATTGTGTGTGTGTGTGTGTGTGTGTGTGTGTGTGTCCATGTGTACACACATATACACGTGTAAATGATCTGCTTTAGCTATGAATTCGAAATATCAGAGATATTTCTTATCATGACTAGAAGTCATTTAAAACTAATCTGTTTAAGTGTCATAAGGACACTTTTGGAAATATCAACATAGAAACATAAAAATGTTCTATCATCCATGGCAAAAAAAATGCATTTAATCTTAAGGTGACAATTCCAGCACAAACCTGTGTTTATTCACTTAACTTAGAGCCTCTTGGGAAACTGAAGCAAGTAAGAAAATATATTAAATGTGATCTTAGCTCAAAGAAAAATCAGTGACATTTTAATTAATTTGGCTCTGGATTTTGATTTAGAACATGAAACACAATATAAAACATACAAGTATTTTAGATGCTGTAAAAGATAATCGACACTCTTTGCTAAAAGCCATATGAATTTTTGTTGACTTTTTTACCAGCCATTCATAATTGTCATTAAACCTTGGAGATGTTCCTTTCCCCAACATACTCCTTTTCTACTTATAAAGCCAGAAAACAACTTCCATGAGTTGGAAATAAAAACTCTCCAGTGGAAAAATCTCCTACTTCTCCATGCCCACCCCCTACACTTTGCAGATCAAATAATACTTTCAAAAATCTGCATGAAAATTTACAATATATTCTACAATTATCCAGAGTGAAGTTAAAAGTTACCAAAGGACATATATATGTGTGCGTCTGTCTGTGTGTATAATATATATTATACATACACATTCACGTGTGTATATACACAATACATATATGTATGCATGCATGTAATGTGTGTAGTAGTAAGTGAGCAAAGACTCTAGTTTATACACATTACTTAAAATAGGTATACTACTCATAAGAACTACTTACCAGGTGGGCTAATTCTACCATTACTACTATTCTGTCTTTGAAGATGTTCTTTATAGCATACTGAACACATGCCATTTGTACGAGGGTTTCCATAAAATCCACAGCCAGTGGAACAAAGCATAGGCACTTGGCTATGGTTAGTTTCTTGAGCCATGTTCCTCTTCTGTGCACCTGAAAATTATAGTCGGAGCATTCAGAGATAATACTCTAAGTGCTTTCCACATTAGTTCTGTATCATAAAAAATAAATAAATTCTACTTCTCTAAAAGCACATTATTTAGGTGACAAAGTTGGATCCCTCCCCCCCAACAAGATAAAAATTCACAGTCCCTTATGTCCCAAACATCAATTCAGAACAGAACTACAGCAGCTCAGGAATTCAGGTATTTTGGAAAAAGTTTGTCCTTAATCATAAACCTCAGACTCTTATGTTTCTGAGAACTGTGGGAAGCTGTTTGAACTCTCCTAGATTACAATGAAGCTTTCTAAACCATGAGGGTAGATGCCAGGTCTTCTCCAACCCAATAATGTAGTAGTAGAATGATAATGTCATTTAGCTGAGGGTTATCATTAATTGCAGGGAGTGGAAAAAAAGCCTTCTGTTGTGTCATTTTTCTCCCATAAAACAAATGGCTAACATGCCTGACTTATGACAAAATAGTAATACAATTTCTTCCCCACGCTTGCAAAAATTCCTATATGGATCCTTATAAAAATTCCTACACGGATAGTTATAGCTAGAGATAAATTTATGCTAAAGAAAAAACTAAGATATGAGGGAGAAGTTAATTTTGAAAAATTCAAAATTATGAAATTCTTTGGAAAAAATGGGAAAATGTTCATATACGATTACCTATACTTTAGGCGAGGAATAGGTGCTAGACCTGCGATTTTACTGGCATAGGGTTTAAGTAACTACCAGGTGAAGAAACTTCCTCTATCAATTCATATCACCTCTCAGGTTTGACTTCTAGATCCCTGAGATACAACACTTAGGAATAGTAGTAAGATAATGGGTCCTGATCCCTGCTAGAATCCAAAATGTCACAGAAGTCCTATATCCCAGCAGCTGTGAGGGAAGCAATTATGTTCCCCTGAAATCCTGAATCAATGACTTTGAACAATCATGAAAACAGCAGATGGTCCAAATGCCTGGAAGACCTAGGCAAAGCAGAGAGAAGTTATGTAACATAGGCAGAGACTCTAGATGGAGGTAATTATTTTCTGGTTATTTTCTAGGTCAGCCTCCCAGCCTGAAAGCACAGAGCTCATCAAGTTCTAACGCCATCATCATCCAAGCCACCTACGTGCTATGGAGATTATCCAAGAAAATTTCTTGCAGGTACTTCTTGGATAACACTTAATTTCCTAGGTATAACTGATTTAAAAACAAAAACAAAAACAAGAAAATCCCCAAACTACACCTTAGGAAGATTTTTCTTGGATAATTACCTACAATCTACTGCTTCAAGTCTTTTTGAGTCAAACAATCAAAGGAAAAAAATATTAAGTAATAGTAGCATCCTCACTACAGTTCACTGGGTTGAAATACAAACAACATACAAACACTTGATGTGGAAATCAACTGTGTAAAATACAGAAAGTTCATGTGATGGGCTAGAAATTCAGTAAAGCACATCCTATGATCTTTGCTTAACATAGCTTTTAACTCTCCTAGCTTTTTGCCTAGTTCAAATTCCTACATTTTATGCAGCATGTGAAAGAAATAGGTCTCTGTTTAGAAGTACTTCCACTACACCAATATCAATATATAAAAGGCCAGGGAAATTTGTCTCAATCCAGACAAATGTTCAATTCTCATATCCAATAGATGAAATTTGTAAAGTACTGAAGAAGCAGAAACTACTCAAGAGTGAAATCCCAGAAAATTATACTAAGTCAATGAAGTTTTACATGGCAATAGTTTTATTCAATTAATTAGAGCGATTGGTTTACAATTTCTCCCTTCTCCCTCCTCTCTCACCTTCTCCAGTTCCTCTTAGTACTCTATTAGCTGAACTTTGTAGGAAACATAAAATTAAAAAAATAATAACCTTGCTTTATTGTTATAATACTTTTTAATATGAGTTTTTGCCTATTTCAAACATAAGCTTCTTGAGGCCAGAGACTGTTTAGCTTTTTTCTTAGTATCCTCAGTGTTCAGTATAGTACCTGGCACATAATTAGTGTTTAATATAAAAAAAAAAAGTTTTCTTGACTGATTAACAATGGATTCCTTAAAGTTCAGCTGCTTGTATTTCAATTTGTAACAAAAATCAAATTTACTTTAAAATACTTTAATAAATTTATAATATGATCCACTACCATATGCTACTGATAATGACGAAATGGTGTTGAGTAGGTCCACTACAAATTTATTTTATATAACCTAACCTGGGCTCTCAATGCTGCAAGGCAGTCCTTTTATGTACCACCCTCACCACCCCCCAATTAACTCACTATCCCACTCACCACAGCAGTTCTTCCAAATCCTTTCATCCCTCCTCAAACCTTCTATGGTTTCCCCTTCTCCTATCCTCTCAGCTGAGAGACTTCCCTCATATTTTAACCGAAAAACAAAAAACAAAAACAAACAAACAAACAAAAACCAGCCAACTGCTGGTGAGAGATTTTCTCTAATCTTTCTTATCTCACACACCACTCAGATGCCTACTGCTGCTTTCATCTCCTTCACTCCTGACTTGCATACCGAGGTGATCTTTTCCCCCTGCCAAGGTAAACTCTTCTACATGCAAAAACGATGCCATTCTATCCATCTTCTCCAGAGACTGCCCAAGTTATCATCACTACTCTTTTCTGGTTGTTTGTCTATTGTCTATAAATATGCCCTTGTCTCTTTCATCCTCAAAAAAAAAAATCTAACTGATCCATCTACCCTGGCAAGCTATAAGTAATCCTGTATCTCTTCTCCTTTTTCCGGCTAAACTCCTAAAGAAAACTTAATAAGTCTCTCTACTTCCTTTCCTCTTACACTCTTAATTCTCTACAATGATTTCAATCTCATCATTCAAGTGAAACTGCTCTCTCCAATATTACCAATGACCTCTTAACTATCAAATTCAATGGTATCTTCTCAGTCCTCATCCTTTTCTTGACTTGCTTTTGCCATTGTTGATCACCCTGTTTCTTGTTTTCGTAATACTATTGCTCACTTGGTTTTCCTCCTATGTATCAGACCATTCCTCAATCTGCTTTGCTAGTTCTTCATCAAGTCACACCCACCATCTAGGAGTTTTGAAAAAAGGCTTTGTCCTCCACATTCTTCTCTCCTCTCTATACGATTTCACGTGGTGATCTTATCAGCACCCACGTAATTCAATTCTCACCTCTAGGCTGATGTTTCTCAAGTCACCTTAACCAGCCTTATTCTCTGCTAACATACAATGGTGTATCTCTAAGTACCTACTGGACATCACAAACTAGATAGACTTTTTTTGAAGGCAAACAACAGGGTTACATAGCTGGTAAGCATCTGAAACCAGATTTGAACTCAGGTCCTCTGGACTCCAGAGCACTGCGCCTGCTGGCTGCCCCTCTCATAGACATCTTAAACTCAACATGTCCACAGCTGAACTCATTAACCCTTTCTCCTCCCCTTCAAGGTCTCCTCACATCCTAACTTCTTTATTATAGTTAAAGGTACCACCATGTTATCCTCAACTACTCTCTCATCTTCACATCCAATCTGCTGCAAAATCTATTGACTGTATCTTCTCGGCATTGTCACCATACTGGTATACACATCTCCATCTACTGAAGTAGCCAGCTGAGTGATCTCCTCACCACAAGTCTCTCCCCACTCCAGTCTACTCTAAGCTGTCAAAGCACAGATGTAACCACATCACCCTTTGGCTCAATAAACTCCAGTGGCTCCCTATCTCCTATAGGTTCAAATTTAAGACTCTGTTTGATGTTCAAAGCCCTCCTGACCTTTCCTCCTCCACAACCCCCATTCTCCCTTCGAGTCTTCTTACTTCTTACATTCCTTCATATACTCTGAAATCCAGTGACCCTGACCTCCTTGATGTTTCTCAACTAAGACACTCCACTTCCTAACTTCAGGCAGTTTCATTGGCTGTTTTCTACATTCAGAATGTTCATCTCTGCCCTCCGGCTTCCTTTGAGTCTTAGCTAAAAATCATTTCTTCTACAGGAAGCCTTTCTAGATCCTCCTAAATTCTAGTGCCTTCTCTCTGTTCGTTAGTTCAAATTTCTTGCATACACTTGTTTGTACACTGTTTTTCGCATGTTATCTGTGAGACTGTAGACTATGAACTCCACATGAGTAAGGGCTGTCTTTCGCTTTCCTTTGTATTCCTAACACTCAGCAAAGTGCCTGGCACATAGCAGGTGCTTAATAAATGTTAGTTGACTGACAGACTTTTAATTGTATATGTCAAACATAAGAATTATGATTACAGTCTTACATAATAATTTTTATATTCTTAACTATGACATTAGATTTGTAGAAGGTAAAACATGTTTGACACTAAAAATATAAATTTCTAGAAATTTTGACATGACAGAATTTTGTTAAAGGGGAAATGGAGGAAGTTGAAGAACGGAAATTCTGGGGGAAACTAAGTAGAGGCAGTACTTTTCAAAAAAAAATTTTCAAGTACTATTAAAATTGACTCTCAAGTTATTAAAAATCTACCTTAAACTCAAAAGCATAAAAGAACTCATCTACTAATATGAAATCTCCACTGTCCTCCTTAAATTTACAAGCTCTTTATTGAAACAGTAGTGTACCTTTATTGACTCTACTTTGTCCTTTTCTCCATGAACTTCTCAAATTCATCTTTTGCTACATTCACTCTATTTGAACCATGTCAAAATTTTTCTTTGTTTTGGAGTGTTTTTTTTTTCTTACCTCCATTCATCTTCAACTGCCTACTTTTGATGTAAACTACATACTCTCCCTTGATAATAACCTCCAAATAATGTGTGTTTTCAATGAGGTTCTATATCTTAACTACTCTAAATGGATGTGAATATCCTTTAAGAATCTACATCTGAAGAACTTACTATCTGACAAAAACTGTGGGAAAACTGGAAAAGAGTATGGCAAAAACTAGGAATAGACCAAAATCTCACACCATATACCAAAATAAAGTCAAAATGGGTCCATGATTTAGATATAAAGGCTA